TCATCCTGTTAAAATTAGTTGAAGCAAGGGAGAGCCAAACATTTAAAATGCTACTATTATAAATAAATCCATCATTTTTTAAAAAAAGAGACACCTAATGTTTTCACTGAATATCACTTTTAAAAAAGAAACTCTTTATTTGCTGTCTTCTAACTTGGCCTGATGACTTTCATTTTAGGCAATATGTGTGGAGGTTATTTTTTTTTTCCTTTTATCAGCCTAACTTTGCCAGTCAGTTACCACTGGTTGGTATAGAAGCTGTAAAGAAATTGTCATAAACACAGTTCAGTTGTTCTAATGCCATTTGTATTTGAGCCGTGCCAGAGGGTAAAAGAGCCCCTAAGCATTCAGGAAACGACACGGTAAGCTTGGAGCTTGCCAAGACAAGCCCAAGATTAAATATGTATTAGTATCTGAGGTCTTCTCTTTTTTTTTTTTTTTTTTTTCAGATTTATTTATTTTACTTGAAAGTCAGTTATAGAGAGGCAGAGGCAGAGGCAGAGAGAGATGTCTTCCATGTGCTGGTTCACTCCCCAATGGCTGCAACAGCCAGAGCTGGGCCAATTTGAATCCAGGAGCCAAGAGCTTCTTCTGGGTCTCCCACACGGGTGCAGGGGCCCAAGGACTTGGGCCATCTTCTACTGCTTTCCCAGGCCATAGCAGAGAGCTTGATCAGAAGTGGAATAGCCAGGACTTGAACCGGTGTCCATATGGGATGCCGGCACTGCAGATGGCAGCTTTACCCGCTACGTAGCCACAAAGCTGGTCTCTCTGAGAACTTCTATAAGAAATTCTGGTTTACTGTGCCAGGTTTTCTAGTTAATTTAGCATGCAGTTGGGTGTTCCTTTAATGAGATAAAAAGTTGATGCTGCCTCCCAGTCTCCTTTATGTGCATTCATTACTGTCCATAGATCTTGGCATTTAGTGCTCTATCCTTGATCCCACCCTATCCAGGTATGGGAAACCTCAAAATCATATGGTCTGGCCCTGCCAAGGCAGCTGCAGACAGGACTTGAAATACAATCAATCCTGGGCTAGCATTATGGTGTGGTAGACTAAGCCTCTGCCTGCAGCAGCAGCATCCCGTATGGGCACCAGTTTGTATCCAGCTGCTCTATCTACTTCCAGTCAAACTCTCTACTAATGGCCTAGAAAGCAGTAGAAGATGGCCCAAGTGCTTAGGCCCTTCACCTGCGTGAGAGACTTGGAATAGGCTTCTGGCTCCTGGCTTCCAATCCACCCAGCTCCAGCCATTGCAGCCATCTGGGGAGTGAACCAGCAGATGGAAGACCTCTCTGTCTCTCTCTCTCACTCTCTGTAACTCTGCCTCTCAAATAAATACACAAATATTTTAAAAAATTAAATAAATTTATAGCAGGCTAATTTTTAAGTTGATAGTTTTGTGTGGCCTACAAACGATGTTATAAATATCCAAATAGCCCTTGGCATAAAAAAGGTTCCCCACTTCTCGTCTATACCTCGGTCTATTTAAATGTTAGTTTCTCTTAGCTTCTCCTAAGTGAATTTGGTTTTTGAAGGCTGTCTTACTTCATGGGACATGAAGCTAGCAGCATAGCTCTATATCTTGTGCATTTGGAGTCTGAATGGTGGCATTATATTCTTTTTTTTTTTTGTCGAAGATTTAGTTACTTGAAAGAGTTACACAACAGAGAGAGAGAGAGAGAGAGAGAGAGAGAGAGAGAGAGGTCTTCCATCTGCTGCGTCACTCCCCAGTTGGCCGCAATGGCCAGGGCTGTGCCGATAAGGAGCCAGCAGCCAGGAGCTTGCTCCGGGTCTCCCAAGTGGGTGCAGGGGCCCAAGGACTTGGGCCATCTTCTACTGCTTTCCCAGGCCATAGCAGAGAGCTGGATCAGAAGTGGAGCAGCTGGGTCTCAAACTGGTGCCCATATAGGATGCTGGCACTGCAGGCAGTGGCTTTACCTGCTATGCCACAACACCAGCCCCAAGGGCATTACATTCTTGTTGTGTGAGCTGTTATTAGAAACAAGCTTTAATGTAGCCATTTCTACTGCTATTTGTTTATTCCTAGATTTTCCTAGGAATGTCAGAATAGGTACAAAAAGATAGCCATTGGGAGTCTCACCTCTCCATTGCTAGTTGGATCATGTGCGCTATGTAACGATGGCTCTTTTTCTCTTTGCCTGGCCATCTGGAAATAGTGACAGAATTAAAGGGAAAGAGACTTCAAGAAGAATTCTAAATAGAAATTCTGACAACTGTCTGGAGCTGGTTAATGGATTAAAACTCAGTTTGTCTTCTGAAATGAGGAGCAGGGGTTATTTTCTTCAGAGGAAATTACCTCCAGAGCGCATTTTCCTGGCTGCAAAGGATCTTATCATTGTATTACTGTTTTTGTTATTATTAACAATTAAAAGAAGGACCAGGAGGTGTAGTCTGTGAAGGCAGAAAGACAGTCTTTCTCCTCCACTTTTGAATCTTCAGCATCTATACTTAACGACATAGGTAAATACTTGAGTGAATGTTGCCGAGAAGCCGTTTTACTTTATTTTAAAGTTTATAAAGCATCTTTTTGAACTTATTAAGAAAATTTCCAACATTTTAGAGGAAAAATATATCCTCATGGATTCTTTTATTTTTAAAGATTTATTTATTTATATGAAAGAGTTACACAGAGAGAGAAGGAGAGGCAGAGAGAGGTTTCCATCTGATGGTTCACTCCCCAGTTGCCACAACGGCCAGAGCTGCGCCAATCCAAAGCCAGGAGCCAGGAGCTTCTTCCTGGTCTCCTACATGTGTGCAGGAACTCAAGGCCTTGGACCATCTTCTACTGCTTTCCCAGGCCACAACAGAGAACTAGATTGGAAGTGGAGCAGCCGGGACTGAAACCAGTGCCCATGTGGAATGTTGGCACTGCAGGAAGTGACTTTACCAGCTACGCCACAGCACCAGCCCCCCTCATAGACTCTTTACTGGGCTTTAATAACCAGCAACACTTTGCCTTGCTTCTTTTATCTCCCTCTACCCCGACTTTTTGCTTTTATTGTTGGAATATTTTCAAAGATCAATAATTTTCAAATTTTTGTGAAAAAACCCACTTGTAGAAAATGCAGTTTTTATGAAGATTTATTGATTTACTTGAAAGGCAGAGTTACACACACGGGGAGGGGGGGAGAAAGAGAAATCTTCCATCTGCTGATTCACTCCCCAAATGGCCAGGATGGCCAGGGCTGGGCCATTCTGAAACTGAGAGGCAGGAATTCCATCTGGGTCTCCCATGTGGGTGCAGGGGCCCAAGGACTTGGGGCATCTTCTGTTGCTTTCTCAGGCTCATCAGTAGGGAGCTGGATCAGAAGTAGAGCAGCTGGGACTTGAACCAGCGCCCATATGGGATGCCATTATTGCAGGTGACGGCTTAACCCACTACACCACAGTGCAGGACCCCTGTTGTTGGACTATTTTAAAGTAAAACTCAGATACCATGTGGTTTCATTAAAGATGCTTAAGGAAAAAACATAGTAACTGCAGTGCCGTTGTTATGCTAACAATAAATTCTTAATTTCATTTAAGACCTTATCCATATTCAGATTTTCTGAAGGCCTTTCAAAAAATAAATTAGCATTGGCTGGTACCGAGGCTCAGTAGGCTAATCCTCCACCTGCGGGCGCCAGCACACCAGGTTCTAGTCCTGGTCAGGGCGCCGGATTCTGTCCCGGTTGCTCCTCTTCCAGTCTAGCTCTCTGCTGTGGCCCGGGAGTGCAGTGGAGGATGGCCCAAGTGCTTGGGCCCTGCACCCCATGGGAGACCAGGAGAAGCACCTGGCTCCTGGCTTCAGATCAGTGCAGTGCGCCGGCCACGGCACGCCAGCCGCAGCGGCCATTGGAGGGTGAACTAACGGTAAAGGAAGACCTTTCTCTCTGTCTCTCTCTCACTGTCCACTCTGCCTGTCAAAAAAAAAAAAATGAGCATTAAAAATTTTTGACAAAAAAATGGAAAAGCTTCTGAAAAACAAGTCTCTTAATTTTCACTGGACCTAAGGAAGAAAATCTGTCGTAGAGCACAGCCAGTAACTCTAGGTAATACTAATAGCTCTATACTGTAGTTATTTGTTGGAATTGCATCTGTGAGACAAGTACTATCATTTGTATACTTCACATTCTCTTCTTCAGTCTCTAGAATATAACTCTGTTCAGTTGATCAATACACAATGTATAATTATTCTAAAATATCACAGTGTACCCCAACGAAGAGATTATTATCTGTCAATTAGAGAAAAATAAAAGAACATGCTATGGTGAATATTTTGAAGTATGCTATAATTATTATGCTAATAATATTATGCTAATAGAAAACACTTAGTGAACATTTACTGTATGCTAGGCTCTATGGTTTATATGCATTATTTAATAAGATTCAGAAAAACTCCTAACACATGGATATTATATTTCCCATCAGACACTTTAGTGACAAACTAATTTTTTTTTCTAAAGATTTATTTATTTATTTGAAAGGTAGAGTTACAGATACAGAGGGAGGGAGGGAGGGAGGGAGACAGAGACAGAGACAGAGACAGAGACAAAGAGAGAAAGGTCTTCCATCCACTGGTTCACTCCTCAAATGGCTGCAACAGCCGGAGCTGGGCTGATCCAAAGCCAGGAGCCAGGCGCTTCTTTTGGGTCTCCCATGTGGGTGCAGGGGCCCAAGCACCTGGGCCATCTTCCATTGCTTTCCCAGGCCATAGCAGAGAGCTGGATCGGAAGTGGAGCAGCTGGTACTCAAACCAGCACCCATATGGGATGCTGGCACTGCAGGCAGCAGCTTTACCAATGTGCCACAGTGCCTTCCTCCATACCAAAGGTTTATAGTTAGTATATAGGTGAGCTGGGATTTGACTTCAGGTCTCCCAAATACTGACTCTGTTGCCTGAGTGTGCTTTATTAAGATGCTGATGTAAAATGGTGTATGATCTGAAATTAACCTTCTAAATTTCTTAATCTCTCTGTTGTTTGTTAACCTCCAGGCTGTAAGACTGGAAAGTACTTACCAGAATCGAACACGCTATATGGTAGTGGTTTCAACTAATGGTAGACAAGACACTGAAGAAAGTATTGTCCTAGGAATGGATTTCTCCTCTAACGACAGGTATGGTACCAAAAATTGCATGCCTGTGTGTGTGTGTGTGTGTGTGTGCGTGAGCGTGCGTGTGCGTGTGTGTTCAAAAACAGCTTTTTAAATAACCTTTTCCAGTTGTCTTTTTTTGTTGTTTTTGATTTTTCCGTTTACTTCATACACGTATGATTAACTCTGTGTTATATGAAGAGTTCACAAATAGTATGAAGGAAAAAAAACTGTTCCTCAATAGTCAAGACAAGGGCTCTTCAACTCATTGCTTCTCAAAGTGTCAATTTCAGTTCTACAGATTTCCTTTTAGGTACTCTATTAGTTATCACAGATCTGGGAGAAGTATTATATTTGTCCCTTTGGGACTGACTTATTTCACTAAGTATGATGTTTTCCAGATTCATCCGTGTTATTGCAAATGACCAGATTTCATTTTCTTTTTTTTAACCACTGTGTAGTATTCCCTAGTGTACATATCCCATAATTTCTTTATCCAGTCTTTGGTTGAATGGCATTTAGGTGAATTCATGTCTTAGCTATTGTGAATTGAGCTGCAATAAACATGGGGATGCAGATAACTCTTTCATATGCTGATTTCATTTCCCTTGGGTAGATTCCCAGGAGTGGGATTGCTGAGTCATATGGTAGGTCTATATTCAGATTTTTGAGCTATCTCTATACTGTCTTCCATAGTGGCTTTACCAGTTTACATTCCTGCCAACAGTGGATTAGAGTTCTCTTTTCCCCACATCCTTGTCACCATTTGTTGTTTGTTGATTTCTGTATGAAAGCCATCGTAACTGGGGTGAGATGAAATCTCACTGTGGTTTTGATTTGCATTTCCCTGATGGCTAGTGATCCTGAACATTTTTTCATGTGTCTGTTGGCCATTTGGATTTCCTCTTTTGAAAAATCTCTGTTTCAGTCTTTTGCCCATCTCTTAACTGGGTTGTTTGTTTTGTCATTGTGGAGTTTCTTGATCTCTTTGTAGATTCTGGTTAATCCTCTATCAGTTGCATAGTTTGCAAATGATTTCTCCTATTCTGTCAGTTGCCTCTTCATTTTCCTGACTGTTTCTTTTGCAGTGCAGAAGCTTCTCAGTTTGATGTAATCCCATTTGTTAATTTTGGCTTTGATTGCCTGTGCCTCTGGGGTCTTTCCCAAGAACTCTTTGCCTGTTCCAATGTGTTGCAGGGTTTCCCCAATGATGACTAATAATTTGATGATGTCAGGTCATAGATTTAGGTGTTTAATCCATTTTGAGTAGATTTTTGTTTAAGGTGTAAGATAGGGATCTTGCTTCATACTTCTGCATGTGGAAATCCAGTTTTCCCAGCACCATTTCTTGAAGATACTGTCCCTGCTCCAGGGATTGGTTTTAGGTCCTTTGTCAAATAAAAGTTGGTTGTAGATGCTTAGATTGATTTCTGGCATTTCTATTTTGTTCCATTGGTCTATCCATCTGTTTTTGTACCAGAACTAGACTGTTTTGATTACAGCTGCCCTGTAGTATGTCTTGAAATCTGGTATTGTGATACCTCTGGCTTTGTTTTTGTTGTATATGATTGCTTTAGCTATTTGGGGTCTCTGTGTTTCCATGTGAATTTTAGCATCATTTTCTCTAAATCTGAGAAAAATGTCATTGGTATTTTGATTGGGATTGCATTGAATCTGTAAATTGATTTTGGAAGAATGGACATTTTGATGATACTGATTCTTCCAATGCATGAAAATGGAAGATTTTTCCACTTTTTTGTATCTTCTCTTATTTCTTTCTTTAATATTTTGTAATTCTCATCATAGAGATCTTTGACATCCTTGGTTAAATTTATTCCAAGTTATTTGATTTTTTTATAGCTATTGTGAATGGAATTGATCTTAGAAGTTCATTCTCAGCCGGCGCCGTGGCTCACTTGGCTAATCCTCTGCCTGTGGCGCCGGCACCCCGGGTTTTAGTCCCAGTTGGGGCACCGGGTACTAGTCCCAGTTGATCCTCTTCCAATCCATCTCTCTGCTGTGGCCCAGGAGGGCAGTGGAGGATGGCCCAAGTGCTTGGGTTCCTGCACCCACATGGGAGACTGGGAGGAAGCACCCGGCTCCTGGCTTTGGATTGGCATAGCGCGCCGGCCATAGTGGCCATTTGGGGAGTGAACCAACGGAAGGAAGACCTTTCTCTCTGCCTCTCTCTCACTGTCTATAACTCTGTCTCTCTCTCTCTCTCACTGTCTAACTCTGCCTGTCAAAGAAAAAAAAAAGTTCATTCTCAGCCTTGGTATTGTCTGTGTATACATAGGCTGTTGATTTTTGTGTATTGATTTTATATCCTGCTACTTTACCAAACTCTTCTATGAGTTCCAATATTCTCTTAGTGGAGTCTTTTGGATTCCCTTTATATAGAATCATGTCATCTGAAAATAGGGATAGTTTGACTTCTTCTTTGCCAATTTGTATCCCTTTGATTTTTTTTTTTTTACTACAGAGTCAAAGATGTTTTGTGGTATCCAGTGTACCATTTTGCACTTTTTTTTTAAAGATGTATTTATTATTTGAAAGTCAGAGTTACACAGATAGAGAGGGAGGAGAAGCAGAGGGAGAGAGAGAGAGGCCTTGCATTCGATGGTTCACGCCCCAACTGGCCGCAATCTGGAGACAGGAGCTTCTTCTAGGTCTCCCATGTGAGTGCAGGGGCCCAAGGACGTCTTCTACTGCTTTCCCAGGCCACAGCAGAGAGCTGGATCGGAAGTGGAGCAGCTGGGACTCGAACTGGCACCCATATGGGATGCCAGCACTGCAGATGGCGGCTTTACCCTCTATGCCACAGCGCTGGCTCCCGAATTCTGTTGTTAAGGCTTTCTTCTGCTTCACCAATTTTGTTGTTAAAGCTTTCTACCACATTTTTTATTTGTTCTGTTGAATTCTTCATTTCTAAGATTTCATTTTGATTTCTCTTTAAGATCTCAATTTTGTGGGAGAAATTTTCTTTTATGTCATGTACAGATTTTGTTAGTGCATTTGCTTCTGATTTCTTCTATGTAATTTTTTTTAAAGATTTACTTATTTATTTGAAAGAGTTACAGAGTGGCATAAAGGTCTTCCATCCACTGGTTCTCTCCCCAGTTGGCCACCATAGCCAGAGCTGTGCCAATCTGAAGTCAGGAGCCAGGAGTTTCTTTTGGGTCTCTCATGCAGGTGCAGGGACCCAAAAACTTGGGCCATCTTCTGCTGCTTTCCCAGGCCATAGCAGAGAGTTGGATTGGAAGTGGAGCAGCTGGGACTTGAACCAATGCCCATATGGGATGCCGGCACTGCAGGTGGCGGCCTTGCCCGCTACACCACAGCACCAGCCCACTTCTGTTTAATCTTATGATCAATTTTTTGAATTCCATTTCTGGTATTTCTTCAATCTCATCATCTTCACAATCTAATATTGAAGTCTTGTGTTCTTTAGGGGTTGTCATGTTGTCTTCCTTATTCTTGTTTCTTGAGTTGGTGTGTTTGTTATTCTGCATTTGTGGAGATACTTGTTGGTTTCTACTTTTTTTTTTTTTTTTTTTTTTTTTGCTGTGGTGGCTTTTATCTTAGTGCTTTCCCTCTGTTGATCAGTGGAATATCTGCTTTCAGTGAATACCTAAAGGTGTGTAGTAGGGTGGCCAGGAAGCTCTGTTCAGTTCTCCAGGGTAAAAGGTGTATCCAAGGTGACATACCCTGGTTTGGCGTGGTAAATGTCCTCCTTTTATTTTTTATTTATTTATTTTTTAAATCAGCGAGGAGGTTTATTCTGCTCAGTTGAGCTTCTCTCCTCAAAGGAGACCAGTGTCCGAGCACTATCCCCACTGGGTATTATATTTATCCACTCTGCCCCAAGGACCACATGAAGAATCCGTGCTATCCTCAGTGTAAGCGCAGATTCCCCAGCAGTGGCCCTCACCTGCACAGCCCTGAGCGTGTGAACCTTCCACAGTGACAACCCAAAGTCGCAGCCACACCATGAGCCCTCACAGCCTCAGTTTTTTCACAGTCCTGGCACACAAGCCTGCCATGGTCATGAGCACCCGGCTGCCTGTCCGTTCTCCCCATCAGACTCAAGAGTCCACTTGGCGGGTTGCTGGGCTCTGTCACGAGTTGGTGCAGCTGTTATATATGTCCAAAATGGCACCTGCTCCTTATCAGCTTGTTACAGGATGTTGTTGCAGGGTGATCCGGGAGAGAGAAACATGCCCCTCTTTTCTTTTTTTCTCCTCTAGTTTGACAGGTACACTATCGCCATGGGCTCCAAGCCGGGTTCTCTCTAGGCTCTTCCTGCAGCTTTATCACCAGTGGCTCGGGCTGCTGTAGTCTGGTCTCACTTCACTCTCCAGCACTGGTCCAGAGGCACTCAGCTGCTGGGGTCCTAAGTTGTGGGTGTCCAAGCTCTCCATGTAGGTCCTCTGTGTCCCTCTGGTTTATGTAGAGTTTCCTCTGCTGTTTTTCCCTAACTCCTTCCTGAGACTGCACTCTTTCTACTTTTTTTTAAACTATCTTCTCTAGAGAAGTGAACTCCCTCCCTACTCCACCATCTTAATCCCCTCTCTCCAGTTGTCTTTTCTTTTTTTGTTTTTGTTTTTTACAGGCAGAGTGGACAGTGAGAGATAGAGAGAGAGAGAGAGAGAGAAAGGTCTTCCTTTTTCCATTGATTCACCTCTCAATGACCACTGTGGCCAGCCCACCATGCTAATCCGAAGCCAGGAGCCAGGTGCTTCTCCTGGTCTCCCATGCGGGTGCAGGGCCCAAGTACTTGGGCCATCCTCCACTGCCTTCCCGGGCCACAGCAGAGAGCTGGCCTGAAAGAGGGGCAACCGGGACAGAATCCGGTGCCCCAACCAGGACTAGAACCCGGTGTGCCGGCGCCGCAGGCGGAGGATTAGACTATTGAGCCGCAGCGCCAGCCTCCAGTTTTCTTTTCAGTCCAAAGAATCTCATGTTTTTCTCCCATTAAAGGTCAAGATAAAACTAGAGAACATAAAAGTATCATGTGTGGTCTT